CTCTTTTCATTTTAGAATCCTAAAATAAATGTTTTTTTACAAATAAATAAATATTATTATTTGCATAATATTATTATTTATTATAAAAAATTATTATTTGTACAATAATTAACTACACATATTGATAGATATTTTATGTTTTAAATTATAGTTATATTAATTTAAAATAAGTTCATTTCACTGGAAAAAAAAGAATAATCACAAATTTTCCAATCAATAATGTTTTAAACTACTAAAATGATATATTATTACATTATCATTTAATTATGGAATAATAATTTTGTTAATTTTTTTGTAATTATTCATATTTATAGTATATATTTCAATTTTAGGAATAATTTTGTATAAAAAATGTGTTTTTGTCCTCTCATCTTGAAAAATATAGGTTTTTGCCACTTTTTGACAATTTACTTGGCAAAAACCTGTTTTTGCCAGGACGGTTTTTACCGGAATTTACTATGGTTTTTTCCAACCCTGCTAAAATATTGCCAACCCTGGTTCATCCACAACAAAATGCTGCTAAAAAATGCTCATTTACAGCAAAATGCTGATAAAAATTTTTAATCTATAACATTTTGGGGGGTTTCAACAGTTTTGATTCCTGGGGGGACACTTTAATATTTCAAGCTTTTTGCAAATAGTGAAAATTTAAAAATTTTATTTTTGTAATAAATTACGAAAAATAAAGAGAAATTTCGAAATACCAACTACAATTTATTTGTTTTTTAATAACAGATAAATGTGAAAATGATAGAAAAATTTAAAAAAAAAAAAAAAGCAGAACAAATAAATACGAATAAAAGCACCCGAAAAATATCAAGCGGTAACTACTTCCTCTACAGCATTTTTGAGTTGAGTTTCAATAGTTTCGATCTCTGCAGGCAAACTTTCAATAATTTCTGACGTTTTTTGTAAAATGCGAACATTTTTACTGATGCAGTTTTCGGGACGATATGGAGGACGAATAGTCACTGAATCACAAACTATCAGAGAGCCATCTTCATCTTCTGTTACAGGTAGTCGATGCTTTTTAATCCAAGTAACTAAACGTCCTTTCAATTCTTCTAATTCTGCTGGTGTTAAAGAAGTGTTATTACCAAGAGATAAATCAGGTAAAGTTCCTGGAACTGATTCGTCAACATTTACACTTACACAGGCTTCACTTATGATCAGTGTAGACTTAGTTATTTTCGATTTATCATTATTAAGAGTGACAAGAATAATGTTTCCACTTAGTGGGTCAAGAGCCTTCATCCATCCTTCATGGCAAATACGATCAACAGTCTGAACTTTAACAAATTTATTCAAATGACACTTGTATTTTAAAGTTTCAGAAAAATTTATATCCATAATATTAACTTATTGAGAATCAGAAAGAAACAATTTTTTCATAATTATAAAACAGCAGATGTAACAACAACAAAGCGCTCTTTTTAACGCTTACAAATACCTATTTCTACTAATATGAAAGATCTAAAGTAAGTTTTAAAATAATAATGATTCAGCTTACAGCTTTCATATTTTTTTACACTTTCTAAAGCAAATGGATATCTTCAGCATGACGTCATTTGAAGAAACTACACTCCGCTTACATTATGCTTACTTGTTGTTGTTCTTAATTTACGTCGCGCTAAAGCTGCACAATAGGCTATTGGCAACGGTCCGGGAAACATTCCGGAGGATGATCCGAAGACATGCCATCACAATTTTGATCCTCTGCGGAGGGGATATCACCCCCGCTTCGGTAGCCCGACGACCTGCGCGCGAAGTCGCGCACTTTACGGTAGAACAGTTTAACGAAGACCAATACCGCACACCCTCGTTCCCTACGCAGACTGATCCAAGTGGTTACCCACCCGCTCACTGACCGCAGCCAGTGATGCTTGACGTCGGTGATCTGCTGGGAACTGTGTCTTAACGATCAGTCCACTGCGGGACACGTTATGCTTACTAGGCAAATACGTGTATTCCAGGAAGTTTTATTACTGTGATTTGTATTCTATATTTGAACTATATTTTTCCATTCATAAGATATTTCATTAATTTATAAATTCTAATAGATCGTGAGCCTAAAAAAATTTAGCAAAATTACTATCACAGCATAAATAAAGCGTGAGGTTTGCCATATTTTCAGTGTAATCTCTTATTTGGCTATTTGTGTAAAATAGCACTGTTTGTTATATCTTGGGTAGTATTACAGCCAGTTTGAGGAGTCTTTCGAATGTATTTTTTATTTGTTTCGTTGGAACATAAATTGAAAAAACGTGTTATATTGAAAGCATTACAAGTATAATAAAATTTAATGGTGCGCTTTTTTCCAGCTTAAACACTAAAAGCAATCGGAAATAGTAACCGTTTTACGCGAACTTTGAACCCCCCCCCCCGAGCTATCTGCGCATAGTTTGTAGAAGCTTTAACAAATATTTTTGACAAGTAAATATGAAAAGCATTAAGAAAGGGGAAAATTTTGCAGTACATTCCTATACAACTGAGAAGGGGAGGAGTTGGAAAGGGGTCAAGAAACCAGTCTTCTCCCCAGATGGCGTATTCGAGCGTTGCGATTGCGAAATAAAAAATTAAAGCAACAACTTTCTTTAGGATGGTGCCTCATAATATTTTTTTCTCCTTCATTTTCAATAAAAGATGAGATTAATTCAGCTTCAGACTTTTTTCCGATAGAATTCGTATTTTTCATTATTATAAAGAGAAAAATTTTTTTATTTTTTTTAGTTGAGTCCCCCATCTTCGTTCAGAATTTAAAAATAAATTGGGCACAAAACTAGAAATCAAATAGCTACACAAATGATAAAGCTAAAATAATTCCAATGTTTGTTTGCTTTTTGTTCAGTTTTTTGTTCATTTATTATTTGTCGCCCTTCTCGGTGCCTTTACGTTATTATGTTAATCAAAGAACGTATTTAATAGTTTTGATTTTGACTGGAAACAACTTATGTTATTTAAAATTTACCACAAACGAGCTAACTTTCCCCTGCACTTATATCTTCGAGGGGCTGTAAAAAATGCATCGTGAAATGTACAATATTGGCAGTTGTTATCAGCATCAATATTCATATATTTGGTGCCCATTAAAACTGCACTATTTATCATGATCGCAGTAGTACCTACTACTAAAATTAAGCATTATTGGTGTCAATAACATTATGGTGGCTTTTTGCGGCTCTCCGAAACGAAGAAGTGCACTTTCTTTACAGATTGTTCTTATTTCATTTAGGGCTTATTACCAAAATTGATTAAGCATCATTGACACCAATAATTAATCTCCGATTGTTTACGCACTTTTAAGCGAATTGGCAGCATTTCTCCTTTTATTTTGCCTTTTAGAACATATATTATTATTTTACTTCAATTATTAACTATTACTAAAATTAATTATCATTGACGCATACAAAAATATTGGGGTTACCTTTATCCTCAACGGATTAGTACCATTTCTCCATCCGTTTTGATGTTCTGTACAAAACTTTTATGTTAAATTTTAATTACGGTTAAATTTTAATTATTTAATAACATGTTTTCAAAGCATAACTATAAACAAACTAAACATGAGATTTCAGGCAATCTTAGAAAAGCTAATTTAGTCACACGCCTTTGTTATCATGATCACGTTGATCATTCAGATAACCTGCCATAACGAATAAAAAAATAATTAAGTATTACAAAACGAAGAATAACATTTTACATTTTTTTTTTCTTATCAGAGTTATTAAGTAAGCAAGCATCATAGATGTTTTCTTCAAAATAGTTGACAAAATTTAATCGTCTATAACTTATTTTAGAGCAATTGCTTCCTCTAAACCAGTATTTCTTAACCTTTTTCGTACCCTTTTTCAAATTTTTTAAGAAGTCACGGACCACCCCCTGTGAAAAAAAAAATTGCAAAAAGCATCAATTATTAGAAAACTTTTAATTTTATTATTCAAATAGTACAAAATTTTTAATGTGAAGGTTGTTGCTGCTGTTCCTTAATTAATAAACTGAATTGAGGGATGGTTTTTGACAAAGCAATGCGCATATCATGTTCATTCAATCGATTTCGATGATTTGTTTTTATTGTCACAAGTGTGGAAAATCCGGCTTCATTAAGATACACTGTAGCTAACGGAATTATATCTGCCATAGCTCACTTTACAAGCAATGGGTATGTTTCTTTCACAGAAGACCAGAACTTCCTGAGTGCTTTTGAATCGAAATCCATTTTTAGCAAGGACTTCTAAGTTCTAAGATGAATAAGCTCATCTTTGGCAAAGTTCATATCATCAATACAGTCAATATCACAAAGAAAAGGATTACGAATCACCAACTCATCTTTTATATTTATCTCATCCAAATTAAAATATTTTTGAAATGAAACTTGAAGGATTCATTTCAAAAGATTTCATTTTTTAAGTTATTCAGTAACAAATTATCTTGCCGAGATCCATTTTCAGAAAGAACTTCTTCCAACATTTGAAAGTTTGCATAGATCTCATTTTGAATTCTATTTTTTCATGGCTGCATTTTCAATAAGAATGCTTGTAAATTTTCAGGTGCATCCATAATGGTGATATCAGGCCCTTGAATTAAAAGACTTATATTGTTCATGTGGTTAAAAAAATCTTTTTTGTCTCTTGTGGTTGTAAAATCTTTTCTTTTTTTTAATATTCGAAGAGTCGTGGGTTATCTTTTTCTTCTAGAAAAAGTGATACTTCTGTCTTCGACATAAAAATTCGTTTCAAAGCCTGTCCCAGTCAGCGCATTTCCATGTGGTACAGAAATACCTCATGTTCTGCGTCCATTTCTTGACACAGTGTTCTGAAAAAACGATGATTAAGAGCTCTACTTCTAATAAAATTCACAGTTTTAATAACTATTGGGGATAGCCTGGTCGGTAGGGAGCTGGGCCCATATCCAAGAGGTCGTGGGTTCGATCCTCGCCGGCCGAAGACTCCCCGTGTAGTAAATGGTGACTGATGCACGTTAAATCTGTCGAGTCTCAAAGTCCTCCATGTTCCCACAACAAATCAATACCTCTGGGGGTACTGATCCAGGAGTTTCCTTGTCTTCTGGATTGGTTCAAAATGACAAGGCTACGGAGTTGAACGTTAGTAGTCGTAAACCCATGAAATTATGTCGGCTGTTCAACGACGGTTATAAAATAAAATAAAATACTTCTTTTAAGCTGGTTGGAAGAGTTTTTGTAGCCAGTACATGTCTATGCGTAAAACAATGAGTAACGAGAATATTATAAAACTCTTTTTTTTCTTTACCACAGGGCAAAACGAGATTTATTGCCAAGCATTGCAGATGCTCCATCTGTACAAAGTGAATGAAGTTTTTCTTTCCAGTCGAAATCGTGTATGGTAAAGAAAACATTTAACATTGCTAAAACACCTACTGCCTTTGTAGTTTGCTAAAGAGACTCACAAAATAAGAATTCCTCTTTGATAGTATCAAGACACATGTAACGTAACGAACAAAAACAAGAAGTTGACAACAATTCGAGATGTCTGTAGTTTCATCCAGTTGCATACTAAAGGGAAATGGTGATGCTTTCAATTCATTGATGGTCTGTTTCATGATATTGCAAGAAATTTCTACTGTTCTTGAATGTATCACATCATTTGACAATGGAATAATATATTTTAATGGAATAATAAGTTTTTTTCTCCGTTCCAGTCCACAAACTATTTCAACCATTTCCAGCGCACATAGCTTCATTAACGTTTCCCCAATAGTAAGCGGTTTCTTGCTTTTGGCAATACGATGTGCAACTCTGAGAGATGCCTCAACCAGAGGTTTTTGTGGAATACCAAATTCAAGTTCGGTTAATGTTCCAGATTTCAAAAACTGGGCTTTCTTCTTAGTAAAAAGTTCTAGATCTAGTGATTTGGACAAGGTGTCAATTGTGCGTAGGTTGATAAAAATAGCACAGCGGATGTCATCAGGGGGTTCCCACTGATGGTACAAACTGAAAGCCGGTTAGTGGAGGTTGTTAAAAATATGCAGGGAAATTAGAGTGTGGTGTGCAGTCGCACTGATTTCGGGGTATCTCGATCACCTAGTTTCAAACATGTATGTATTTTCACCTTTTAGAAGAAAAAAAAATTATTATTTAAATATTATTGATACAAACGTTTAAAAAATTAGGAGTAGTCGATGGACCCCCGAAATATGACCAATGGATCTCTAAGGGGTCCATGAACCAAGGCTTAAGAAACCCTGCTCCAAACTAATGAGAAAATTCCATTTCTTAAATATCGCTGAATTAGAAATATGATAAAGAAAAATTTAATATCGGACTTCGTAACTTGTTTACAATTTTACTTATTTAGCTTCCTGTTGAATGTCGCATTCCTTGAGCTTATAATTTATCATGATGATGATGATACAAATAATCAAGGTAAAATAATTGCAATGCTGTTTTTTCTTTCATTTATTATTATTTGTTGCCCTTTTCTGTGACT